ATGACTGAGAAAATTGCGAAAGCACGTGCATTAATTTGCACTGCAGCGCAAATTAAGAATTAACGATCAATTGGCCTGCTCTCAGCCAATCACAATGAAGTAATTTTCTCAGTCATATAACAAAGTAAAGAATGAGGAACTCTATTACTGATTCTGTTAAATTTCAAACGATATTTTTGGTACAGTGTTATACAAAAACAGATCTGTTTTCCTCCCTCCCCAGTGCACAACAGTACTTCCGTTCGTTTTCATTTACTGTTGACATGTTTTTCGACCGCAAGCAGAACTTGAAGGAAACTCCTGCTCATAACATGTTTTGTCTACATCATAATGACGCATACGCTAAGCCCCTTACGACCGTCAAATGCGAAAAGTTCCCAAATTCACTATCGACAACAAGGTCAATAACCCTGTTATCATTTCTCGTATATTTGTTTTCTTTGTAAATATTCAATTTTATTTCCTCGTGCGATTGCCACTACAATATAAATAGTAACATTCTAAATTCATATACTATTTCCTTTGTAACAAGACCACGAATATGAAAATTCAGATGCCTTCAACATGTGCTTGCGATTTTAACGCGCGAAAGCTAAATTCTAAGATAGACCGGAAAAATGAAAGCAAATGGCCAATTTAAAACATGAGATGCAACAGGGAGTACCCTGCGAGCAATTGGTTTCTCCTTCGCCGAACGAGGGAGAGATCATTCGGCGTAGGAGAAACAAACTGCTCGCAGGCTCAATTTGGCGCTCGTCGGCTCGTCTCGGTCGCTTTTATAAAGTACAATTGGAGTGTTTAACACACTATTATCAAGTTGCGTTCACAAAGAATACATTCACAGCTATTTTTATTTGTGTAACTGCGTGACAGTAACAAGTCCAGAAGCAACTGATCAGGCTATCTCAAGCTTTTTAGTATGGGTGCAAACATTGGAATGTTGTGCTTTGTTGTGAAATTAGCTGTAACATACGTAAACAGTTGGCGCATCGTGGAAGAAAACATAGCTGTCTTTGATGCCTTGCGTTATTGCGGTTTTTTTTTTGTTAAATTCCATTTTCTGTCTTGACGGGGTGTTGAAGGTGTCGAGTGGAGGAAATCCAGTCCACAAGAAGAGAAATTCTAGTTATTCAGCCATGTTGACCTTGTTACAAGACTAACTAACAACACTTAGTTATAATCGCAATTTTCGTGCCGTTCGTCTCGCAATTTTGTTACGATGTGTGTTATTTTGCGAGAAATTGACAGTGTTACATGAACGTTCTCTTGAACATAGCACAGTAATAGCAGCATGAATACTGAGAAATTGCAATAATTGTTGTCGTTGCTGTTGCAATGTGAGTATGAGTGAAGAGACTTTGAAACACTGCCTTGCATTCTTCAGCAAGGAATTTTCCTTATCACTTGCGTCGGGGTATTTGCGTGAACGTTTCGGCGTAGAAAAATTCCGTAACTATCATGAAAAGCTGTGCAATCTTTTAATCCCCAGATCAACGAAAACAAGTTACGAACAAAAGATAATGAATGGTTTGTCTTAATGCGTTGGTGTACCTGTCTACTAGTGTCTAGCACATAAAAAAGAAGTTTATTGTCCTTTTAAAGACAGACGTGACATCATTCTTCTAGCCAACCATTCCATTGAGGTTGTTTGCTATTTCGGGTAACAACCAGTCCTTGAGAATTAACTTAGACCACTGGAAGTTCCGTCAGGAAGTTTCGGACCGACTCCAAAAAAACATTCCTCGGTGTACCACTTCGGCGAGGCGTGCCCAACAAGGGCGCGTGCGTGACGCGGTTGACATTACTGCGCAAGAGGTACTTATTATAAAGGAAGTCCGCGGATTAATTTGTCAGTTTGCATTCAGGATACGGAGGTGGCCGGTTGTGGAAATGGTGCTTCAAATGTACAGCAAGTTCGTTCGAGTAATTTTGTTGGTAGTTCTGGGACTTTCTCGCTTCACTCTACAGCAGCAGCATCCTGGATACTGTAAGTGAAATATTGAGAATGATTCATTCGTCCTATGTCTCTAATAATACACTCAAGTTTTTGATCAGTGTGGAAATGTTTGGCTGGATTCATTTCGCGTCTAGTAAAACTGCGTTGTTCGCGTAGGATTCTAGGTCACAAGAAGACTTATCCCTGATGCCGTTCACTGTTACAAAACTCCGGCTCTCCGACTGGCAAACATTGGAATTCAGACATTCAACCAGAAGGAAACATTTTTACTTTTTTACCTTAGTTACAAATTAACACTCCTGACAAGAATATGTTTCCAAAAAAGGCATCTCTTAGATCATTTGGAGAGGGTGTTACAGGGTAAAATTAAACCCAACCTGCTTATGCTGTGAATTTAAAACGGAAATTCATTTGACAATCACTGATTAAGTATATAAGCCCTGGCCAGGGAGAAAAATCCTTTATCAAAACAAAACTGAGTTAAGTGTTAAGCTCACGCTAAAACAGCTGGAGGGATCCGAATGATCACGTTTTCTACCTTCGATCTCTGATGATAATTGAAAGTGGCTTCTACTGAAAGGATAGCAGTTTTAACTCACTCCCACGTCGACTAACTTAATAAATGAATTCAGGTTTAGTTCCCTTAGGAAAGGAAAATAGCGAGAAAAAAATCTCCTTTCTTTTGCTCTCTGTTTTCCCACCAAAATTTTTTTTGAGACCACGAGGGACACATTAAGTTATCATAACCGACCACGTGGTCAATGAAGGGTTATTTTTCTGTGGCTCCTTCTTCAACCAAATATACGTACTTATTAACTCATAACGATTCCTCTTTTTTCTCTTCCTCGTTCTGTCAACTTTATCTTTTAAGTGATTACCTTTGTTCCAGTAAAATGGTTTTACGTGTTCATGCTCTCAGTCACAGTAGCAAATCCCTTACAAGAAATGATTTTTTGCGGGTAATAAACGACAACTTGGACCTACTGAAGAGCAGCTTTGGTTAAGTGGCCTCTCTGCTAAAGTATTGTTATTATCAACATTAATTTCAAATTGAATTCGCAGAATTTTGGCATCCCTTTAAACCTTAGTTTACCTAAAGTACCGTGGAATTTTTGGTGTCGTATTTAATTCTCGGAAATATCTTATTTAGCCGGAGCATTTTTTCCTTCCGTTGTCCAGCCTTCGGTGGACCGTACAGCCATATTCACTTTGTACGTACCCCTTGACCAAACTCAGTCTATGGCTATTTCCACCAAATTCTGAATTTTTTTTTGATGTAACATGCACTGAATCCTCCTGCGGAATGCAAATGTAGCGACAGTAAGAAACATCATGTTTACTTGTCTTTTGCAATGCGCCCAGGTAAGAAGTCACTGTGCTCATCATGTCCGTTGTCATGAATTTCCTAAGAGGTCGGTTAAGTTTAATTGTATTGCCATCTGCTGCACGTCTGCGAAGTCAGTGGATTAAGCGCATTAGTAAAATCGTTTTTTTTTTTTAAGAAAAAAAAAAAAATGAGCTCCAACAAAGTTGGCAGCTTTCAAAAAGGGTTACACGGATAAGTGCAGTAATTTTCGCGATTCTGTCGCCCAAACAGCGAATGAAATTGGCCAGAACTCCCTAAACAAACACGATAGTGTGGTAAACCGGTAGATCGTTGGAAACGAAACAGTCTAAAGGGGAACTCATTGATGCTGAGATGTAAACAATTACTTCAAAATCAAAGTGAAACACAAAATCATTTTTTACCGCACGCAAACATTGTATAAACCTTTCTAAATGGGAGGGGTGGCTTTTTCTCGTTAAAAGTAGGAAGAAATCAATAGGCTTAAAAGTTAGTATGGTAATACGAACATTCTCGTTATTCTTTCCTTTCCTTTACGTCAATCGAGCACATTTTAAACCAAGCAAGTCAGGACGCCATGGCAAATTTTCAAGCTTTGCGGTACGGCGCCAAATTATAAACGGCTGCAACTTATCAAGGTCATTAATACTTGTACATGTAGACGACGTTACGAAATAATGACGTTTGGTCTCACATGAAAAGGTTCTAATTAGCATGATGTTTCAAAATTGTTTTGAATTTCCTGTGTTATTGCCAAATCACCTCATGGCTAAATTAGACTCTTAGACAGAGTGGACAATGTGTGGGATCGTGCCCACCTTGCCGCCCTTTCGTTATCTCATTGCAAGTCAGTACTCTGACTCTTTCGAAAAAGCTATTAGTTTTAGCTAATCTTGATCGGTTTCAAATGCTTAGTTATAGTTCTCAAGAGGATTTTTTCGCAAGGCTTTTCCTCTGTCACGATATATTCCTAGAGAAAACGACAGCCGGATGAAATGAACTTGAGCGGGCGGGGCCGGGGGGAGGGGTAACATTTCCTTTACCCCTGCATCGCACGAGCGCGTGTTTCTTTCTTCAGTATGTCAGCATTTGATCTTTGTAAACTAAACTTTATACCACAATTTTATGCTCTCACGGCTGGAAACAGTCACGTTGCTCTATAACAAAAGACTTTTCATTTACAACGAATAAGCACAGTGCCTACGGAGCTTTATTGTATCACGTTTTAAGGCCTCTTAAATTTTAGAGTTATAATCGCTAAACCAGGTGGTAAAACAAATATAGCTGGTGTTAATGCTGAGAGAGCTTAGTTCGATAGATACGCCTGTTGCATGTCCCCGTCACTCAATTGGGGTGTGATTATTAAAAATATAGGAAGTTTCTACAGAAACTGTTAGGCTGCGTCGCCCGGGGGTACTCCCTATATATAATTTCCTATACGGGGATGCTCCGCCCGAAAGGGGCACCTTTTTCAGGCGTCAGGTGTATAAAATGGCAGGGATTTCACAAGTTAAAAGGGTCGTAGTTAAAATATTTCGAATAGACGCACCTTAAGGCTGTATCATTTGATTTATAGGGCACTACATAAAAATGACAAGAAGATTCCCTTTCCTTTTCCCTCCTTTTCGGTCAAAACTGGATACAAAAGAGTAAGGGGTTGAACCTCGGGGCGTAGCCTCCCCATATAAAACTTTATAGAATACCCCCCCCCCCGGCCTCCCGCCTGCGTCGACGGGCGAATGAAACCCGTAACCATTCATCAACTTGAAGTTGATGAAGCAAACTTGACCGGTGTAGAGAGTTTGTCAAGTTGTCGTTTTGAGCGTAAGTTCTTGGTAAGGATTGTGAGTTGCACGTGTGTTTGTGCTATTGGAGGAAGCGTGGCAACTTAAAAGCATGAATGAAAAACGTTTATCGATCCTATCATCACAAATTTAGAGAAATAACCCCATGTGAAAAAGAAAATTGAAACGTCCGGCATAATATATAGATTTAGCCAGACCTAAAAGCGGAGCTCCCATAAAATACTAATCATTTGTTCAACACAAAATAATGCTCTAGAGAAATTATATAATGAGCAAAGAGAGATCCTGAACGCTGTAAGAGGCCGTGCTTTTATATAAATTAACCTGTTTTGGAATTTGTTTAGCTTGTCCTGACAGAAGTAATGATCTTTTGAAAGTTAACAGCCTTTTTAAATGGCTATATTTTGTTCTGTTTTTTTTTTTTTTTTTTTAAATCCCCGGCTCTTTTACTAAGGGTTAACTAAGCTGCTTTCTTGATTCAGCCATTATTCCAATGTCACATTCTTTAATCAACGTACTATCTAATTCCATAATTGATTTAATCATCTGACTGACTGTGTGAGCGATGCGCCCTAAACAAGAGAGTGAAAACATCAGGTCTGTCAACAGGTCTGTCAGCCATGTTCACTGTCTGAAAAAAAATCAGTCAATGCTTTCTATGTCTCAGTGCCGTTTTAATGCAATGTGGATAACGTGAGCATTGTTCGTTTTTAAGTTTAAATTATAAAGCTATTCGCAGAAACTCCCTGACTAAATTTGATACATCGTAATTAAATTTGGCTTTGGGCAAGAGACGATGATCAAAGACTCTTGTTTTGGGTTTGATGGATAGGATGTTGTCTGCGTGAGCACATTTTTGAAGGTCCTATGCTTTGATTTTAGTTTTTGGTTTGTTTGTTTATTCGTTTGTGTGTTTGCCTTTTTTTGCTTATAACGTGCATGTATAGATGATAACATCAGAAATACGAAGTCGAGTCACTAGAATTTGTAAAACAACTTGCAAGCCAAGCAGGCCCTTTGTGCCTTAGAGGGCAGCTTTCACCAACGAAACTCTTAATTTACATTACATGCTCCCCTGCTTGTAAGTATCGTGTTAATCAGGAAATATCGACGTGTTAAGGCAGCTATCTATCCTCCAGCTATACAGATACCGAAAACCACAACCCAATCGATGAGAATATAGCTTGGCATCGCGATAAAGAACTCATTTATTCAGTTAGTGACATCCAAAGCCATACATTCATTACCTAATTATCACGACCACAAGTCCTGCCATGATAGTTTTCTGCTAGCCGAGAGCAATATCAAATTTATTTTTAAATAATCAGGAACAAAAACATCATTGCAGTAAACTTCTCAGGACAGTTGATTACTGTCGGGTTATTATTTATAAATTGGACATCCGGTCCCACACAAAAACAGCGGAATGCTTTTGATGAGGAAACTGGATCGGTATCAAAATAGAAAGGATATGTTCAAGGCTGTCTCAGTAGGATCTCACAACATATTTAATTACGATGTTTCAATCTCGAGTCCCCCGTCTTCCTGAAAGTATTTTGACTCTTCCACGTGGTTTACAAGACACGTACACTCTCACTAGGACGTTTTTTCTTATCATGTCAGTGTTCAATTACCTCACTGTCTATTTTGTAAAATATAAAACATGACTTAAAATCAGCATACTAGCCTACCAACTTTTTGCCTTTAAGCTCTTCCTTCCATGAAGCGTTCAGATAATGCCCTTCCCGCTAGCACAGTAGCTTTTGAGGTCAAAAGATTATTTGCCAAAAACAAATACTTCAGTGTGCGTACCAAGCTTTTTTTTTTGAGGAACCAACTTTTAAAACAAAAAATTCTCGGGATTCTCTTTTTTTCTCTCTCTCTCTCTCTTGCTCAACCTAATTACGGGGCCACATAAGCATTCGCTGGAATTTCTTTTTAATAAGAAGATTGGGTTGGAACCAAAATGGAAATGATAAGACACTAGGAATTGACGTGATTGGATTTCACGAAATTGCGTGGCTTCGAGAACCCTCTTTCACGTGTTCGTGCCGTATTTTTCACGTGTTCTTCTTCTTTTTTTTTTTTTTTTGAGATTCTCACGAGGAGAATGTCTTGCTTTGTTAACCCGGTGAATGCGAACGCCAGGGTTTGAATAAAGCTCGAACGGAGGACCAATCATTTCAGCCTAAAAGAAAGGAGAGCTGGAGTCTTACCACGTCTTCCGTCTTTCTTTCTTTCTTTCTTTCTTTCTTTCTTTCTTTCTTTCTTTCTTTCTTTCTTTCTTTCTTTCTTTCTTTCTTTCTTTCTTTCTTTCTTTCTTTCTTTTTTACGCATCTTGCATTCCCTGGTGTTTTGTGATTTTGTAACCACGCTTCCTTGGGTTTTTAGGTAATCGCATGGCTTTGAAAAGATATCATCACATCACTGAGATTTCCCGTTTATAGCAATCAATAATGAAAATCAATGTTTCTCCAAACATACTTTCCCCTGATGTTCAGTCATAAGTGATTCCATCTGGTTAAAGTGTTACTGTTAAGGGTCGTTCTCGTGCTCAGTATTCTGTAAATAATAAATGAACAAATAAATAAATAAACTGATAGGAATTTGCAGTGTACATCCAACGGAGAGACCCTTCGTCCACTGTTTTCAGATCGAATTGTAGGAATTTAGGAGGAAAAGCGAAGAACCTGGAGAACCCGGAGAAAAAGCCTCGGAGCAAGGCGAGAAGCAACAGCAACAAACATGAAACGGAAATAGCATTATCTACGAGCTGGTTTAACAAAAGGCGAAATGAATAACCAAGCTCTAAAAACAGATTTGAAAACTTCAGATACGTGGGTATGTGTGAGAACAGACTAGACGGCCCCAAAACAATCTGGCCACGGTTCAATTCGACTCTAAACAATGGCCTTTCATGCATTTCATACAGCAGTTATCTGAGATGTGTTTTATGGGCTGCTTCGTCGAGTTCCTGTCAATGACCCGTTCTTCGGCTGCAATGTTTTCCCCGACCATCAAGTCCTACGCTATTCTATAAATAGGCAAAATCCAATTTAAAAGATTACAAATGTCTTGAACAAAGACTTATGACATCTTTCCATAATAAGTGTAACACGATATACAACTCTCACGATACCAGGCTAAAAATAGTTATCTTTTACGTAAAGTCCAAATCAGCCCGCGGTCGCCTAAACTTTCCAAACTCCTCTTCTATTCTTGATATTTTCTTTCCGAACTACGTGTGACAATTCTGAAACATATTTTGGACGTTTGTCATAAAGCAAAGATAAAGATATATTTCTCGAATGTAAGAGAAAGATAGTTTTTATCAGAACCTTTTTTCCGCGCGTATTGACACTTTTTGTTATGTTCTTTAAGATTCTTTAACATGAATTTTCCAAGGCCAGTGATCTACTACTTCAGTCACATTTTCAAGGGTATACCGCACTTCAAAGCCAAAAGCGTTGCCAAAAAACGATTGGATAACGTCGAAAAATTCCCACTCCATGTGTTTTTCTCCAGGAGATTTTGTTGGTTCAACAGGCTCAAGGAACCAATACAACTCTTTAGGTCAACTTAGCTGGCCTGAGGATATATTGATGATAGCTGAACATGACGTTTGAGTTCTTTGTTTAAACTGGTTCGGCTGAACTTTATCCTTTATTCACGTTACGGAAGCCACGCAGCACGATGCCTAAAAATTTTATCTAAATTTAACTGAATTGTTTCGACTCAGTTTACACGTTTTTTCCTTTATTCACGTTACGGAAGCCACGTAAGAAAGCTTAAAATAGCCCTTCTAACGTGTTTACGTCAAGTCAATAGATCTAGCACCCACATAACTACACTTTAGATAAGAGCATGCCGGCTCCACACACGAAGGTGAAATAAAGAAACGTTAATTGTGTTCGGCGACTTTTGACTGTCTGAAACGGGTTAACTATAAAGAGGAATTAAACAACACGCCATTAATTTCACGAGCTACTCCGTCATCAATAATTACGTTGTAAATGGCCTCTCGCCCTCCACCGGCTTCTTCTGCAAATTATGTTCATTCCTGTACCCTGCAATCACGAAACTTTACGGCACCCGTTGCTGCCTTCCTGCGGGATAATTTTTTTTGTGAAAGCATACCATAATGATTTCCTTCAAAGGCAATAAGAGTCAATCGTTTCAGTTGCAATCAAGCCTACCATAGATTTTCTTTCTGGACAATTTGACTTATTGCCTTTTTCGGTTGCTAAATATATCTGATTGATAGATAAGTGTTTCTTTCCCTATTAAAGACCAATCAGTTTGACAATGATGAGATCGAAGGCGAAAAGTCAAAAGTACTTTGTGAGCTTGTTCACGAAACAGTGAAGAATTCTCCGTCTGATATGCAAAGCAAGAGAGAGAGTCTGTTTCTCTCGCACTTTAACGATATCAACGCCATGAAAAAAATGTTCTGCGGTATTCAGCATTCTTAACACAGCCTAACGAAGTATCTGTCATCCCCACGTAACGTAATTACCACATTGCTACAAGTGAATACCTTCACGTCAGGTCAGCTTGATGTTCTCACAGTGGAAAACGGCAACATAGTTAACTTTCCAAGTTCAGCATTCCTTTCCGCACGTGTAATAATTGAAGTGGTATGACACTGGAAAGCGGCTCTGTTTACTGTAGTGCTGATTGCATATCTGACAAGTTAGGTCTGATTGTGCTCTAATGAGATGAGGACTTTGCGTAAAATTGCCCCGACTCAAAACAAACAAACCTATGCATGATAAAATCCAAAACATTGTTCATCTGTTTTATGCTTTTTGTTTTTCTTTTTTCAATTGCTACAAAGACGCAATCATTTTTTACTTGTTCAAGGTAATTGAGTTACACTACCTTAAACGATTTAACAGCTAAAAAGTAAATATGAAAAATATGTCCAAACTTACAATCCAATTGTGGGTTTCATAATCGCAGTTATGTCAAGATTAACGGGAATATTCAAGTTTTCAAATTTGACACCCATCTGAAATTTTTAAAAAAATCATACGAATTTTCTCTGAATTTAGTTTGTTTGCCCTCAGGTGAGGAGGGCAGAGGCTGTTGTTTATGTGATGATGGAAAAGGATAAGATTTTACATGGAAAATTAAACAGTCTGTGATAAAATCTGATGTTTAAAGGCGGAAAATAAGAAACAGCTTGTGTTGTCTCGCGGCGACCCAGTGAGAGCATTTGCTACAGACGAAATGTTCCAGAATAACTTGACTATCTATAGTGATGCATCAGTGAACATCTGAAACATATTTGAAGTGGCCACTTAGGTTTTCACCCAGTCGAACGTGCCGAAAAGAATGCTACATTAGCTTATATTTGCAGACAGCGGTGTATTACGTTTCGTCTCGCGCCCTGAGAAACGCTATTTAATGCGTAGTCCAAGTCCGTAACAATCAATTCACTCTTTGCTCCGCGAAGCAGGCTAGCTGACTTATTTGAAGCAAGAAGATGAAGTCTGTTGTGACCATGTTGTTACTGGTTAGCTTGGGTTCAACTGCTGCAGAAACTAAAGGATTTAGTAAGTCTAACGCCGCGATTTCATGTTATTTCAGTAATTTAAGAGTCTGCTTACTGCCTATAGATCTCGATCCCTAGATGAAACGAACGAAACGACGATATTTGGTCTAACTGCACTTCGAGTCCTACACCGCCCATAAGCTTTGGCCATTCAAAACTGATTTCAAGAGCTTAATTTCATGTTTCTTTTTGTTTTTATTTTAAGTTTTTCTTCTTAAAACGTTTCGTGTGTGTTTTTGCGAGGGGCTTATGCCTGGTGTCAAGTGAGATATTCCGTCTCTTGATGAGATTTGTTATTTGCTGTCCTTTTTAGTACAAATCTTGCATTTGGCATCACTATAAAAAGATCTTACTGGGGGGCTTGGCTTTCCGCTTATTTTGAGTTTGTACAAGTGAAATAAACATAGGTATTAATTTCTAAAGTAACTGTTAGGCTTCGTTGACTGGCGAGTGAAACACTTAGGAACTCACAAAGTTATCAACGGTAAATTAACTGAACTAACACGCGTACGAAACTAACTTTTCGAGCGTTGTCCACCGTCAGAGCAAAGAATTCAACTAACTGTACGATACAAGGCTAAGAACGTAGAAAAGTTGCGATCCTCACTACATGTTTCTGCTGTTCAGTCTGCTATGGTAGTTACTTGAAACTGTAGAAAAAAGAATTTGGGAGAAAAATATCCACACAACTCGATGAATTAACTTAAAATAATTTCCAAAAGATGCCATCGCTCGAATTCAATACACAAAAATGCCAAATATAACACATTGTACATACCCATAGTCAACATCCTGCTGTTTACGCCGCATGAACAAAACCCTCATGGCAAAATTTAGGAATCTGTGTGCATCCTGTTACAAGTCAAATTACTTACAGCTTTGGATTACCTCTGATATCCAGCGCATCGGCTTAAACGGTGCACGAAAAGCGTTGGGGAAATGGAGGGGTACTTCCGTTTTAGCTGTTTTGGTCGGTGACACACGTCGAAAAAGTAACGAAAATCCGCCGCAGTCATTTACCTTTCTCGGTTGTGGCATAACTTGGGTGAAGTCCGCTTTGACGCTAGATAGTTTTATGGGACAGAAACATTTTCCGGATAAAATTGTAGTTGAAACTGATTCATCTCTCGATCCGCTTTTTTTTTTTTAAAGGTTAGGGCTGACGTCCTTCATCAGCCTCTTTGTAAGGATAATTTATCTAATAAAACTGGCGTCAAGTTAATCATATAAAACTGGCATTTATTGAAAAAAAAAATACTGGTATTTTTTCAAAATGATTGTTCATATATAATGCTCACAACACTAGGAGCTAACTAAAAACCTACCTAAACGCTACTTCACAATGTTTGCAACAGTTACGTAATCATTCTTTTCGCTCTTGCTCCTGAAACATATCTTTTGTTTTGCCTCGAGGCAAACAAAAAACTTAACAATTTCAAACATTTGAAATTGATACTTTCGTTCAAAGTTCTTCATTCACACGGTAGGTAACACGAGACGGTGGTCCACTCGACCAGGTCAGGAGTTTGTTGGCGGGTTTCCTTTCTTGTGTATTTCATTGCAGATGTTACATTAGAACTGTTTGTAAATTCTGTTCGAAAAAGGCCGAATTCCTACATAAGTAGAAAGACTGCAGTTGTGGATTCGCAGTTTGTTTGACGGGAAGGGACTAAAAGATCTGAATGTTCGTTTATCTCTGCATTTGTCAGGGGAAATTTCTGACTTTTTACTGGAAAATTCTTTTAAATTTTCCAACGTCGTTCTGGGCACCATTAAGAGGATTATTCTGTTCTTTGAGGCTGGCAAAAATCTACTTTTCTTGTGGTAGTTCTAGCAACAGTCCTAAATTGTTGCCTTGTAAATAATCTGCTTTAGCAAAGTATACTGTCTAATTTTGGCCACGGGTCAAATACTTCTTAAGACCAATTGCTTTTTCCTTTTAAGTTGGAATTTCCCGGCATTACCGTCTGGCTTTGTAAAACATTTTTGGGATACTTGTTTCCTTTGACCCTTAAAAATTTCTCAATTTCTCCATTGTTCCCTAAACTTTTTCGCTAAAGTTCCCTTCAAAAGTACAGAAATAAAACTAAGAAATGTTTCCTTTAAAATAAATGATTACGTTCTCTTGTTCTTCAAAACCCTGGGATGGCAAAATGCCAAGCCTGAGTTTCTGTTGTTAAGTAATGCTCCTTTTCCCAACAGTCTTTGAAAACGGCGAGTATTCTTACAAGATCGTGCTCTCCAGCGATGACAGCCGAACGTGGTACGAAGCCGAGGAGATCTGCCGAGAGCACGAAGGTGGGCATTTGGCGAGTATTGCCGACGAAGACGAAAACAAGTATTTGAACGACAAGATTCAGCTCGTTAGCAGCTCGCCAAGCAAACCAGAACACCTTTGGCTCGGGGCAAAAGACGACCAATATTTCGGACGTGTTTACCAATGGGCGGATGGGAAAACGTTTCGGTTAGTAACTTTTAATTAAGTTCAAGGACGAAGGAGTTACTCATAGCGTGACGTTTCCACTAAATGAGTTTACTTAGCTGGTAGACGTTTTTAAGGTAGCTTTTATCCTTTTTGGCAAAGCAATCATGTGGGAACAAAAACCTATACTGCTATGTTACCTCTCCAGAAGACGCAAACTTTACTGCGCTGAATTTCTACGGACTGAAATAAAACTCTCGTAGTTCAAAATACTGCTTTTCGGATGCACTCTTTCCAGACCTTGCCAGTTTCAATCGGCTAAATGGTTCTTGAATATTCCCACCAAATTTAGATTTAAATGTTTAAATAGCACGTCTCTTACAACCACACCGAAGATACAATTTCAAGCTTGAAAAGTAAAGACTTACAATCACTGATTCCGTTCCAGTCTATAACATCATTTTCACGTTTCTCGTTCATGGCAGGTACAACTCTGCATTCTGGGCACCTGGTGAATCCCGCACAGACCATTATGATGAATATGAAATCTGTATTGCACTTAAGTCCACTGGGGACCTCGCTGATTGGACTGAAGCAGACTGTTATGAACCAAAAGGTTACATCTGTAAAATTGAAGGTATGATTAGTAATACCTTGTGTTACTTAAGGTTACAGTATACCTTCGGGTCGGCAATTTTCTTCAAATTTGGATTTTTGGGTCAAAATAGTGGTCGAAGAATAATCTCTAATTTCTGAAAAAAATTTTTGAAAAAGGC